TACTTATAAGGAAACCATAATTTGAATGACTGGATTTCTCTTTCTCTTAGTAAACCATGGAGGCCAGAAGAAAGTGGAACAGTATTTTATTGTGCTAAAGAACTGTTAACCCAGAATTCCAAATCCAGCAAAAATGTTTCAGGAATGAAGGTGAAATTAAGAAAAGCAATACTGTAAACTGAGACTCCCCTGAGGGTCCCTGTGGGATCAGGCCCATATTGGGGAGACTGGCTAATGAGAGAGAATTTATACCATCTTAAAGGAGTAAGCACTTGTTAAGTCTAGAAGACAGCTGTCATCTGAGAATGCTGGCCGTGCTTCCAGATAATATTTTTCAGGAAGTCAGGAATCAGATTTTCATATTAAATCTGATATCTCAAGGCTAATAACTAAATCAAAACTTTTAAAGAACTGTTGAGGGCAACATCAAACACAAATGCATGAATAAGATACAACCTGGTTCATCAGGTTTTTACTTCTATGGAGTTCTCTTTTTCTTTGAACGTCAGAAATTCTACCAAGATATATCCAGTTAAAACTCTTCATAAATTCTGCTCAACACAGAAAGGAGCTCTGATTACTAAGCATTTTGTTCAACCCTGGAAATTTGTTTCATTGTTAGATCTGCATCATTGCATCATCCAGAACTCATTTTTTTAAAATATAATTCTCCCTCCCCATGATTCTTAATACTTTTTTGTCATCATTTTTATCCTTTCTCTGAGAATTTTTTTCATGAGTTCCTATTTTAGTGATAATTGACTTTTCACTGTGGAATTTGAAGATTTAGCATACACCTTCCTCCTCCAAGTAGCATGATTTTTAAATTAAATTATTATTCAGTTCACTTAATGACTATGTAAAACATCTTTCATTGCTGAGCTCTGTGGTCACATTTCACTTCCTATATGACTTGTTCTTTTCCATGCAATTAATCCTTGTCTTATTTGAGAATTGCTTAGTTTTCTCAGTATCTCATTAATCTCTTTTCAGACACATCAGCTAACTGGTGTATTTTTTAAGAAACATTTCTCCTCTAACCTGTTCTTCTGTCCCAGTTGAGACTATTACATAGCTATCATTTTAGAATTTCTCATTATCATCCCATTGATTCCCTTCACCATGCTCCTTTGATTTTCTTTTGATTCGCTTCTATATTTGGATGCCTTGGATACATTGATATACTTTGACTCTTGGATCTCTTGCCATCCTCATTCTTGGTTTATTCCTTCATTATTCTAAGGCACATATCCCAAAAGCAACCAAGGAAAGTATTCAAGAAAAGTACATGGTGTATTTTATGAACCCTTATATGTCTGAAAATGTTTTCGTTTAACCCTCATTTTTCATAGATATTTCACTGGAGATGTAATTTTAGGTTGAAAAACTTAACTTCAAAATTTTGATGGCATTGCTCCATGGATTTTTTAAAATTTAGCATCTAGTATCATTGAGAAATCTAAAACACATTCAGGTTCTTAATTCTTTTATGTGATTTGTTTAATATCTTTGGAAACTTTTAGAATTTATTCTTTATAATGTTTAATATAATATTAATTTAATATTTATATTTATTATATATTTATATTAAATAATATTTAATATATTTCAAGTTGAGGTATCATGATGTTGATTTTATTCTTTCATTTGGGCAGTGACTGAGACATTTCATTATAGAAACAAAATCTCTGAGATTTTCTTGTATTATTTTCTTGCTTATTTATTCCCCATTATCTTCTCTGTTTCAAATTTTGAATGTTCACTTTTTATTTCCAGTGCCTGGCACCATGTCTGACACATAGTATGGGCTCATTAAATTTTTTGAATGATTGAACACTCATAATTCAGATCTTGAATTTCTTGTCTTAGCTCTAGAATCTTTTTCTATTTTTCATATTTTTTGTACTTTCTGTGAGATTTTATTAAGTTCTAATTCTCATTGTTTGAATATTTTTTCTGACATTATTCTCTTATGAGATTGTTATATGTTTTTAGAAGCATTCTTTTTCTGAATTTTTAAATTTTTCTCCACTGTCTCTTTCCTGAGTTTTTTTCTTGTTCATTTTAATCTCTCATGTATGTTTAAGATTTTCCTGAAATTGTTAATGACTCAAGGCTGTCTGCTCATATAAGACTGTGGTAGTAAAAAGTTGATCTGAGCTCATTTATATCTGAGGATGTGTAAATTTATTGGTGGTAGTCACTGTAGAGTGATCTGCTTAGAACAGTTCATTGACTGATTCCACTTATCAAGTCTTCTCTATTGGGCTGGTTTTCTCCAGAATGGAATCCTCTGCTTTCTTTCTGGGAATCAATAAAATGAGCTTGACTGCCAGATTCTGAAAGTTTACTGAGGATATCAGGCTGGGGGATCAGCCTGCTGTATGGGGTAGATTTGAGAATCTGAGGTCTGTCTGTTTCTTACAGATTTTTAGTTAATCTTCCTTTTTGCAGCCCCTCATGCACCCAACTTTCAAAGATACCTGTTGATTGCAGTTCTTGGAAATAACTAGATTGTACAGTAAGACCAATCTGCAACCTAGGTTTCAGTGTGTTTATGGTTGACACATTATTTATTCTCATTACCTCTACTCTAGCTTCCAAAATTTGGTTGTTGCTCTTCCCTCTCCTATTCTTTGTCCTCATGGAGTTTCTTCCTTTGTTTAATCTCATCACTATCACTTCAGTGGGACTTCTTGAAGGAACAGTAATAAATGTATATATTCACTGTGTGGTGTTTGAAAAGAGTGTGTCCTTTTTTTTCTAGAGGAATTTTTTAAGACATCTTTTATTAAGGAGTATATTTTCAAATACTTGCTAATTGAGTCAGTTAATAAATATTTGTTGATCTTCCAGTATGTATCAGATACTGCACTTAGAATTGGATACACATTGTTGAAGTCAATAGACATTTTACTTTTAAAACGAAGTAAACACAAGGGGAAAAGATTCAGGGGAAAAGATATTAAGTGAACCTGAATAAATATGTAATTACAAATTCTGAAAATCTTAAGGAAGAGAACAGAGTGCTAAAAGTGTAATTACAGGGAGGGTATAATTTGGTCATGGAGTCAGGGAAGGCCTCAAAAAGTATGACCTTTAGAGATTTGGGAAATGGGCAATAGTTATCAAGGCCAAGAGTGAAAAAAACTACGAGACATAAGGAAAATTCCTGGAAAGACCCTAAGAGGGACTAAAAACTGGGAGCATTTGAAGAACTGCAAAATAGGGCCAGCATGGATGGAGCCTAGCAACCAAAAGGGAGCATAGCTTGAGATTTGTTTGAAGAGGCAGGCAGCAACCAGGTCATTTAGAGCTTTGTAGACCATGTTCAGCAGTTTGGCTTTTATTGTAAGAGAGATATAAGGGTTGGATTTAAGATTGCAAACCTCAAGTGGGGAAACTAGGAAAGAAAGAGGCTGTCCTGATAGTTCAAGAGATGTATTAGATATTTTATTGAAAATAGGAAGAAGAGTTTCAAGATATATTTAGGAGCAAGATTAGGAGGTATTTGCTGAATAATTATATGAGAGAAAGAGACGATGGTACTCGAATGATTTTCACTTTTTTGGTTTGAGGCTTTCCCACTGGGTCCATAGTGTGGTCTTCAAAACACTTCACTGCCTAATATCCCCATTTTTGTACAGAGATTCTTTCGTATTATCTCTCAAATACTAAACACTTATGCCAAATACTTTTTATATATTATTTATAATCCTCACAATGATTATAAGAGTTATTACTTCTATTATATAAACAGAGAATTGAGGGCTTAGAAAAATGAACTACTTTGGCCAAGAAAACAAAGCTTGTAATTAACTTGAGTGTGAGTGCAAAATTCATGACTGAATCTGGTAGCTCTGAACTTCCAGTAGCACAGAACACTGCCTTTATAGTCTCTTCCTTCTCTTTAAACCTACAAATACCCTTCCTGTCAGTTGGTCATCGCTATCATAATGCTTATGTACTTGTTAAGTCCTTTTCTCTTCTAAGATCAGTATCACAGAATTCCAAGCCAAAAAGTATTTTCATCAAACCCCAAACATAGTCCATATTTAGCCACAAAAGAACCCTCACTATCTACCATTCAAACTAGATTCATTCATTCTCCCATCTGGATTGCCACCCTCTATTTCCTTATCATTTGTTAAAGAGACCCTGGGCCTCCAGTTGCAGAATCTAGACCAATGCTGTCCAATAGAACTTCCAGCAATGATGGAAATATCCTGTGTTTGTCATTTCCAACATGGTAGTCCCTAGCCACAACAGGCCACTGGAAATGTGGATAGTGCCACTGAGGAATTAAATTTGAATTTTTATTTAGTTTTAATTATGTTAAATTTAAATACACACATATGCTCATGGCTACTCTAATGGACAACATAGATCTACCCAGGGGCTGGCAACATTTTCCTGAAGGGCCAGGTAATAAATATTTTTAAGTTTGCAGTCAGTGTGTTCTCTGTTACAACTACTCAGTTCTGCCATTTTAGCTTAAAAGCAGTCATAGACAATATGTAAACAAGTGTAGCTATCTTCCAATAAATCTTTACTTATAAAAATTGTTGCAGTGCTGCAGGCCAAGTATGCCAAACCCTGGGAATTTTTTCTTAGACATATTCATTTAATCCCGATAGTAACTTTTTTAAGTAGGTATGATCATTTCCCTTATTTTACAGTTCATCTGCGGGATGTTCTTATAGCTGTGTGTGCATATGCTGTGAGATTTTATATGTGTATTTATGATTAGAGTCATTTTGTAACAAGGGAGATAAGACTTAAGTCATCTTTATGTTCAGCAAGTTCCCCTTAGTAGTTCTGATCAATAGCAATGTTTGGAAACCAATAGCTTATTACTGCCCTCATCTTACTATATGATCTGTCCTCGCTCTTTTCTTGTCTATTTTTTTAAAGTTCAGTTTAATTCTTCCATTTCTATTGAAGTTTTATTTCTCCCAAACAAGAAAAATGTGAGTGATTACTTTCATATTTTCTTTCAGTCCTGGAATCAAGATGTGAGACCAAGAAATTATTTCTGAAGAAGGAAATTTATGAAATAGAGTCAGCGCAGTGGGAGATAATGGAAAGACTTACAAGACATGACCTTCAGTGCTCTAGTTTCAGAGATGATTGGGAATGTAATGGCCAGTTTGAGAAACAACATGGCTCTCAGGAGGGACACTTCAGTCAACTGATATTCACCCATGAAGGCATGCCCACTTTCAGTCAGCATCCATCCTTTACATTACAGCAAATCATTAATAATAAAGAGAAATACTGTGCAACTAAGGAATATAGGAAAACCTTTAGACATGACTCACAACTTAGTACACATCAGATAATTCATACCATTGAGAAACCCTATGAATGTAAGGAATGTGGAAAGGCCTTTAGACATCCCTCAAGACTCAGTCATCATCAGAAAATTCATACTGGCAAGAAACCCTTTGAATGTAAGGAATGTGGGAAAACATTTATTTGTGGTTCAGACCTTACTCGACATCACAGAATTCACACTGGTGAGAAACCCTATGAATGTAAGGAATGTGGAAAGGCCTTTAGTAGTGGCTCAAACTTCACTCGACATCAGAGAATTCACACTGGTGAAAAGCCCTATGAATGTAAAGAATGTGGGAAGGCTTTTAGTAGTGGCTCAAACTTTACTCAACATCAGAGAATTCATACGGGGGAGAAACCCTATGAATGTAAAGAATGTGGCAATGCCTTTAGTCAGAGCTCACAACTTATTAAACATCAGAGAATTCATACAGGTGAGAAACCCTATGAATGTAAGGAATGTGAAAAGGCGTTTCGTTCTGGTTCAGACCTTACTCGACATCAGAGAATTCATACTGGTGAGAAGCCCTATGAATGTAAGATATGTGGGAAAGCCTATTCTCAGAGTTCACAACTTATTAGTCATCATAGAATTCATAGTGGTGAGAAACCCTATGAATATAGGGAATGTGGAAAGACCTTTAATTATGGCTCACAACTTATTCAACATCAAAATTTGTACTGGTGATAAACCATAGAATATATGAAATCTGTAGGAAGGCTTTCAATTACAGCTCAAAATTTCAACATTAGAGAATTTATCTTGATAATAATCCCTTTAAATAGAATAATGTGAAAACATCTTCTTTGTTGATTCTAGCTTATTCAACCTGAGAAAAATCATGTAGGAGAAACACCCTATAAGTAGAATATATTTTGGAAGCCCTTTAATAAAAGCATATATTTCTTTTGACATTAGATAAATCAAGCTAGCAAATACTGAAAATCATAGCACTTTTGACACCTTTTTAACCTTATTTTAAACCTCAGAATTCATATGAAATATAATCCTAATTTTCATTTCCCCCCTAATTTGTCTATAGTTCCTATATTCTTAGTATTTTAACCCATCTTAAATTTATGTGACTGTAAAGTCCAATTTCTTTACATCACAGTTTGTAAAACACCTTTAAAACCTGAAAGAAGTGACCTCTTTATTCAAAGATGGCTTACTCTTTGTTATTTACAAAACTTAGGCTTTCTTCTTGTAAAAACAGTGATGAAAAACAACACAGTAAATAGAGATCCTTTCATTGCTTCCTGGTGTTTCCTTACGTTGCGATATAAGGATGTGTGACATCATTTTATCAAATTCCTATTGAAAGAAATTGTAGTTTCCCAGAGTTTTTGCCATTATTCACAGTTTCCTAATGGAAATTCTCCCTAGGCATATCTTTGTATCATGTATTTTAATTGCAGAAATAATGCATGAACATATTTTCCTTTTAAAAGATTTAAACATTGCAAATAAGGCAAACATACGACTACCATCCTTGTACCCATTTCCCATTCTGAAGGATAGCCATCTGTTTAGTATTTATCCTTCTTAAGCATATTTCTATGTTTTTATACATATTTGTCTCAGTAGAAATTATAAAATGGGGATAATTATAATACCTACCTCAAAATTTTGTGTGAGGATCAAATAAATTAAGACACATAAACTGCTTAGAATTGTGCCTGTCATATAATAAATACTCACTGAATGTTGGTCATTTATTCATCGTTGTCATTAGTATTATTTGTTGAAAAACAGTTTCTGCAGAACTTGCTGAACATCAGGCAGGACATACAGTTGAAAAAAGACACCACTCGGTAATGAATTCAGAAAATTTTCCATCATGACTTATTTCATGTGGAACATGAAATAATCCTAGGTGTTGGTGGGGAAAGTAATGTGTGTACCATGTGCAAAGGACTTCACTCAGACTGGCATCCTTTTTACTACATCATATAATACCTAACATAAAAACAAATAAAAATATAAACAAACCATTGTGAAACTGATGGAAAAGTATGAAAAGACAAACAGAATCGTGTTTGAAAAATGGATAAATACACACACAAAGAGAAACCTTAGAGTTACTGATTTAGAATGTTATATTAGGGGTGCCTGGCTGGCTTAGTGGAGCGTGCAACTCTTGGTCTTAGGGTTGTGAGTTCAAGCCCCAAGTTGGGTGTAGAGATTACTTAAAATCTTTTTTAAAAACTAAAAATAAAAGGGGCACCTGGGTGGCTCATGGTTGAGCATTGCTGGTCCTGGGATTGAGCCCCACACTGGACTCCCAGCTCAGCAGGGAATCTGCTTCTCCCTCTGCCTCTCCCTGCCCCGACCCCGCTCTCTCTGTCTCTAGAATGAATAAAATCTTTAAAATTTTTTAAATAAAAAAAGTAAATAAAATGTTAAATACAATGCTTCTTTCTGATACATTTGAAAACCTAAATTATTTTTTTAGGAAAATAAAAATTACAGCATTGTCTCAGAGAACTCTTGGAAGATTTATAAAAACACAGAAAAGGGGAAAATTAGTGTGATATAGTAACTATTACTACTAATGAAGCACCAAACCAAATTTCTTTTCAGGCAAAACATTATCAACTGTTTTTTTGTTTGTTTTTGTTTTTAGAGAGAGAGATGGGGAGATGGGCAGAGGGAGAGGAAGAAAGAATCTCAAACAGGCTCCACACCCAGTGCAAGCCTGACTTGGGGCTCGATCTAACAACCTTGAGATCATAACCTCAGCTGAAATCTAGACTTGGACACCTAACCACCAAGTGCCCCTAGACATCTCATAACATACTCAGATATAATCTTGATGTTAGAACAATCTTGGGACACCCAAAAAGGAAAGCTATTTTTCAGTGTCATCCATGAAGATATATGCAAGCATACTAAAGAAAATAGCAAACTATGGGTACCTATTAAAAGAATAATAGAAATGAACCTGGTTGTGACAGTAGCTAAAGAGGATGATATCCAGTGCCCGGTTCCAGCTAACTGATGTGAAGAAACACAGGCCCCATTTTGCCAGCTCTTCTGATTTTTTGAGAGAATCCAGATATTTTATTTATTTTGTTAGTGTGTGATAGCTCTTGATTTTTTAAAAAATATTTATTTTGAGAGAGCACGAATGGGAGGTGGGGGGAGGAGCAGATGAAGAGGGAGAAGGCTCCCTGCTGAACTGGGAACCTGATGTGCGGCTTGATCCCAGGACCCCGGGATCATGACCTGAGCCAAAGGCAGACGCTTAACGAACAGAGCCATCCAGGTGCCCCAATAGCTCTTGAGTTTTAAGTGGTAGTTCAGATTTTTATTTAAGGACACCATGAGGGCCAAAGAAGACATACGGACTGCACAAACAGCCCATGAGTTACTTTTATTCTGGAGACTAGAGCAGTGAGTTTTTAATAGTGTAAACTCCTTGGTCCCAAGGAAATTTAAGGAAATGAAGGAATGGTACAAAACAAGATAATTTACCCAGAATTTCTTAGATGTGAACAGGTTTAGATTAAAATATTTCCAGGGACAGGGGCGCCTGGGTGGCTCAGTCATTAGGCACCTGCCTTGGGCACAGGTCATGATCTCAGAGTCCGGGATCAACATCAGGCTCCCTGCTCAGCAGGAGGCCTGCTTCATCCCTCCCCCACTCCCCCTGCTTTTGTTCCCTTTCTTGCTGTGTCTCTCTGTCAAATAAATATAAAAATATATATATTTCCAGGGATAGAGTAAGCTCCAAATGTAAGGATTTTTTTTTAAAGGACGATTCAGCCCCAATATTTTCTACATATAGTTCTTTATTCTAAGCATCATATCAAGTTTAAAAATTGGATATATTTTATATGTTGCATATCCCATTGTTGAGATATTTTATATGCATATATATGTACATTTTTAAAAATAGTTAACCTGTGAAGAGGAAAACTAGCCTGACCATCACAGTTTTGCACTAGCAACAAAAATGTCACTGGAATTATGTATTGTGTTCTAGATGAAAGGTTAGCAGCCTTTCCATAAATAGCCAGATAGTAAATATTTTAGCCCTGTGAGCCATACTATTTCTGCTGGAACTACTTAACTCTATCATTAGAGTGTGGAAGCCTACCAAAAGTCCTAGATTAAGAAATCTGAAGTTAAGAAAATGTCCCACATCTTAACTTTGTTTAGGTTAGGTTAGTGTTTTGAAATAGATCTTTTCTATGCCTCAATTTTCATGCTTAGCAGCAACTTCCTCCATTGGATAGATACCATTCTTGGAAGGAAAATCCCATATAATATCTCAAAGTTACAGGTCTGTCCTTCCATTCCCCACTTCCTTTTTTCTTAGATCCCATATTAGAGGGTTTTGGTTTTTTAAAAACATTGAGTTATTTTGTTACAGGCGTATGCCCGTAAAATATTTTATAATCAATTTAAGAAAAGTGGAGTGGGGACCCCTGGGTGGCTCATTAGTTGAGCGTCCAACTCTTGATTTCAGCTCAGGTCATGATCTCAAGGTTGTGAGATCAAGCCCCACAGTGGGCTTCACACTCAGTGTGGAGTTTGCTTGGGATTCTCTCTCTTCCGCTGCCCCTCCCCCTGCTTGCATGTGCTCTCTCTCTCCCTAAATTTAAAAATCTTTTAAAAGAAAGAAAAGTAGAGCAAATAAGAGAATTAGTAAAAACAGGATATTTTGTTCAAATATTTTGCATTACTATCAAAACAAGGACTGCTAAATGAAATTTTATATATTCTTTCTTAAGCCTATTTTAAGTTATTTGTTATTTGTTAAGTTCCTCATCAAAAATTACAGAGATAGGGGCGCCTGGGTGGCTCAGTCGTTAAGCGTCTGCCTTCAGCTCAGGTCATGATCCCAGGGTCCTGGGATCGAGCCCCGTATCGGGCTCCCTGCTCCGCAGGAGGCCTGCCTCTCCCTCTCCAACTCCCCCTGCTGTGTTCCCTCTGTCTCTCTGTCAAATAAATAAAATCTTTAAAAAAAAATTACAGAGATAATGCATTTGCACCCAAACCAATGAAGCAATACCAATAAACAAAAAAATAATTTTTGAACCTTGTGTATATCCCCCATATACTTCTTTATACTTAAACATTAACACAACCAATTTATTTTAGTATATTTTTACCCAAAAAATGGATGATACCTTATACATTTGTCTGTAATTTGCTTTTTAAATTCAACTGCATTTTGAATTTTCCTGGTCAGTAAATGATGATTTAACTTAGTTCTTATTTTTATTTTTTTGAGATTATTTATTTATTTGAGAGAGAGAGCAGAGTGTGGGAGAGAGAACACAAGTGGGGGGGAGGGGCAGAGGGAGAGGGAGAAGCAGGCTCCCTGCTCCATTGAGCAGGGAGCCAGATGCTGGGCTTGATCCCAGGACCCTGGGATCATGACCTGAGCCACAAGCAGACATTTAACCAACTGAGCCACCCAGGTGCCTCTTAACTTAGTTTTTAGAATGGTTACATTATATTGCATACCCAAGTATGCTTATACCAATACCTATTCAACTATTCCCCAACTTCGATATTTCAGACTGTTTCCTCTTTGCCATTTAAAAGTAGTGCTTCAATAAACATTCCTATTTTATATTCTTCTCTATTTATTTCATTTCTATAAAATAGGTTTCCCAAACCATTTCCAATGTTTTCTGTTTCTTAGGAAGGTATTGTTTATAGAAACTTT